GTACACGCAAACATTTTCCCTTGTCGAGTATGAAAAAAGTTAACAATGTACAGTGTAATGTTCCTTGCTGTGAGGCAACCGATATGTTTTCTCTGAAAAGCCAGCGAAAAGTATTTGGGTATAAATTCTCAAGAAAGAAAATTTAATGGAATCAACTTTATACAGTCAAGTAGGTATTTTCTAATATAACTTTGCAAGTTTACACCAGCACAGTCATGTTATCTACACTCTTCAAGAGCTTTGAAAAATGGCCAGCAACTTTCCTCCTGAGGAGACTACCCGGTCTAAGTTAAATTGTGTCGCCGTTAATAAGATTGCAATATAATGTTGACTCGCGAAAGTAACCAGCTTGGATGGAAAAACTCTCACAATAATAAAACTTTTAAATAGCCGAGCATTCTTTACTGTCCTCAAAGTAAAGCACCTGGCAACAGCTTTTCTTGTATATTGATATTTCGTTAAAGTTTCCAGTTTGAACCGTTTACGGATGCCGTATAGCGAAAATTCATATCCTCTATCGGGAATTATTTTTGTTTAGTGCATCGGATATACGAGATGAAATTTGATTTTAAATCCTATTTTTATAAAATGTAAATATAAAAGTTCAATTAAATTATCAATTGCTACTAATTATTAACAGGGAGAGCTTAAATAAATTGCAAATTAATATATTACTTCCTGTAATTAACAGTTCTGTAATAATGATTAAAGTAGTTTGTTAATTGGCGATTAATAAAATTAGCATCGACAGGACAACTTTAACGATGAAATGCCAACTAATTACAAAAATTCTAAAAATTTGGGAATAAATTTGCTTCAAAACCAATGTTTATTTTCCACTTTAAAATCGAACCCACTAGTATCTTTTATTGAAAAGTTTCGTTTTATACCTAGTACAGACCAACTCGTATATTATTCATATGCAAAAATTGTTGATTAATTATAGATTTTCGTCAAATTACTAAACACGTTTTAAGTTTTCGCTCATTTTAAAAGCGGGAAATTATTGATTTCAACAACCAACTGGTTTGGAGTTAAAAAAAGTAAAATACATTTATTTTTAAGCGCAATCGAATGCATTCAATTTAGACTCAATTTATAACAAAAAACATTACTTGCATAGGCAGGTAGCATCAGTTTCTTGATAGCGTGTGAAAGTAAAGTATGAAATTTATTAAATAACGTTTACGCAGATGGAAGAAAAAAATATTAAACACATTAAAGTTAATTTGTAAATGTGCATATTTTGACAAAATATTGTATCTAAAGCTGAAATATTTACTTCCAGAGATATGGGGTTATACTTTAATAATTTTAAAGGCGACCTAAGTATTCGTATTGTACAATAAGTATTTTTACATACAGACTGAGTATTCTTTTATTTATAAGAATTTGAAAAATCTATACGTTGCTTGTTTTTAAGTATATTCTTTTGCTCTTTCGAACAAAAGCTTTGTTATACTATCGTCACAAAAACAAAGTATAATAAAAAAAGGAAGTGAATACACACTATAATAGTAATATTTATTAACAAAATCAACCAAAATGAAGAAGGTTCCAACAAAGAAAACGAGGAATTTAAGTAGGGGATCAAACTGAGCGGATTTTCAAATTGCAGAATAAACTGTTCAAAGGTGTAATCGAAAACTAAGGTAGTGGTCAATAACTGAAAGTTTTTAAGTGATACGAGTATCTGAGTATCTACAAAATTAATCACATCACAAGGAATAATTTGATGTCGAAATATATTCATTTTCGCATTAAGTTTGACGTGTCCGAGCAATTTTCTTTTAATTTCATTTGTATAGATTTTTTATCAATTAAAATTCAATTGTCTAATGGTTTTTAATTAAATTTATTTAAAAAGCACTTGTATTAGAACGTCTTGCAAAGGAATACATCAAATTAGCAAACACTAAACCGAGATAACCTTGTTAGTACAAATAGCGGAGAACTTCGTATTTGAATGGAGCGTTTTCAAAATAATATTATGTATTTCTAGTGCTAATTGCAAAATATAGTCCCGAATTTTACCATTTTAGAGTTAATGTCAGAAATTTAATGAGCAATCCTGATTAGCATCAGTTTAACAACATCAATATTTTAAACAGATGAATTCAATTTAAAAATAAAATTTGAAACAAGGTAAATTGGAAAAAACCTTTGCTATTTTTCTAATAACCTTTATTTGAGTTAACAAAAAATTCACATTAGATAAAAATTAGCTAAACTTATAGGTATATAATATAGGTCACATAAAACTTTGTCCAAATTTACCTGCTGTAGTTTAGGGTAAATTAAACGATAAATTATATTAGTAGTTTGTAAAAAATTACTGTTTTTTTTTAGTATGGTGTCTTTTCAGTACATATATTTAGTACCACATTTTGGTGGCTTTTGGCTTTCAAAATCGAATTAATTTTCCAAGAGTAATTTTGGAAACTATTTATTTGGACGGTTTTGAATAAATTCACTAATTTGAAAAAAAGCAATTAAAATGTCTAACGAGTAAAGGTGAGTAACACACAGCCTTCTCCACAATAAATTTATTGGACCCCTAGTTAAAGAAGACAAAGTTCGACATGTTTCGGGCACATAAATATCCATCATCTGGAGCTGGAAGTGGTACAAATCTGCTTAAGCAGAACTTAAAACAAGAGAAATCATACCTTAAGCCATAAAAGTGCGCTGGCTGTCTTTCTATACAGGGGAGACAGCGAAAACCCAAAATTAAATTTACTCAAGGCGAGAACCATACATTTATGTTTGAATCAAAGGTGAATAAATGTGTAATTAAGTTGAAATTTGTTATACGTAGTAATATAGAAAAGAAAACTTAAGAAGAAAAAAGGGGAAAAAACTTAATTACACATTAAACACAAAATGACTAAACGACACAAAAGGAAGCAGCAATTAACGAGTATTTAACACCTTTTTTCAAATTCTAGAATTTTCAACATCCGACTTGTTCTGGACCAAGGTGCTATTTATTGTAAACCCCAGGACGCTTAAAAATTCTTATTTTTACCCTTTTAAATTTTAAAGGTCATCTCGGTCTTCGCTTTAATTAATAACATATTTTTACTGTAGTCGTTATGTGTTTAATGTGTAATTAAGTTTTATCCCCGTTTTTTCTCCACATTAAGGTAAATATTAAAAATATGTTTCCATATTACTACGTATAATAAATTTCAACTTAATTACAGATTCATTCACCTCAAACATAAATGTATGGTTCTCGCCTTGAGTAAATTTAATTTTGGGTTTTCGCTGTCTCCCCTGTATAGAAAGACAGCCAGCGCACTTTTATCGTTTAAGATATGTTTTCTCTTGTTTCAAGTTCTGCTCAAGTAGCTTTGTACCACTTCCAGTTCCCGATGATGGGTACTTATGTGCCCGAAACATGTCGAACGTTGTCCTCTTAAACTACAGGTACAATAATTTTTTTGTGGAGAAGGCTGTGATTTATTCACCTTTACTCGTTTGCATACACTCCACTGTGAGAGCATGGACTACTACATTGCTTTAAAATGTCTGAGTATGAAAAAGAGGCGATTAAAATTTGATAAAACTTACTATCAAATTCCTACCCAAAAACAAAAAAAAAAGACGACAATTATATAAACACCTTCAGATCTTTTCAAAAAAATTCAAATTACAAAAAACTAAATAAGTGATCTTGATGTATTTAAGGATGATACTGAATGTAAGCAAAAATTTAAACAGTTGAACAAACTAATTAATCATCAACTGCAAGCTAGAGACAATGTAATTTTGAGTGGAGTAATAATAATATTTCTTTAAACCAACTTTAAAAGTAAATCTACATTTATATTTTATTGTCACAGGTTTTATTCAATTTTTTTCCTACCCACACTCCCTGTTCCATTGATGGTAATATTTAGCTGTGAGTGATTACTAAAACCTGTTGAAAATACGAAAGGTTATATACGTATAGACCTCTGGCAACTGCGGCAAGAATTACTCTGGAAAACCCAATGTTGATTCTACTCACTAGAGGCAGCTTTAGTGACTGGAAAACATTGATTTATACGCTGGCTGGTCATTGATTTAAAAAGCAATTTAAGGAGTTTCCTCTTTTCAAAAGAAACAAGGGGATCAGATGCTGTTTGATAATACTTTCACAAATTTTGAATTTGGGGTAGTTTCTAAAGGAAACAAAATTAACAGTGATATGAAGTCCATACCTACTTTTCAAATTATGAGAATGTCCTCCTAGCAAAATTAATTTATTTTTAGGATACTTATGATAATTCACTTCAAATCAGTAAGATGGCAGATAAAGTAAATCTCGAGAACAGAGACATATATCTGGTTGAAATACAACAATATATTATCTAATCAGATAGCTAATTAAATATGGATAAGTACTCTTCATTGCAAATTGAATGAGATTTTTATGTATAAGAAATCATTCGTTATGGAATTTTAATTGCAATAATTATAATGTACGAGAACAATGTTTCTAAATAAATCAACAGACACTTTATTTAGAATTATGAATTTGCGAATATTATTGATGTTGAGTAACGCAATAAAAAATTATGAATAAACTGTTGAAGTATACCTATTAATTAAAATAAAAATGTTTAAATTAATTTGCGACTACTCCAAAACAAGATTTTAACAACATCTAAGTCTCCAAACTTAAAATGTTAACAAATTGCAAAAGTACGCGTTGTCAGACAATGATTTTTAATTTAAATTGCTATTGTGCTCAGCTTATCGAAAAAGGTAAGCAAACATCTATCCAGATTAAACAAAAATATAGCACTGGCATTAATGGGGCATGCTTTGCTGAGTGGCACTGAACTTTCCCATTATTGTATTCTTCTAGCAATGACAAAGGTGGACTAAACAATTAAAAATAATTTTACTGTGCCTGTGTGAAACAATGTCTTAATATTTATGTATTTACAGAAAATGCAAACACTGTTATCTGTTTTTATCTCATTGAATAGGGAGGATATTACAACGTAGCTTGATATTCAAACCACATTGCTACAACGCTGAAAAAGTGTAAAAATTGGCTTGAAAATCGAAATTGTATAGTTTTTTGCCATGCTATTTATATATGGCCTCTAAAAACCAATATTATAATTGGATGCTAAGGTAACACATTATTATTACACTCATTAAATTAAGAGTATAAATAAGCTGTTTATCGGAGTATTTTCTAAAAACATGAGACATAATAATAATGTTTATAATTGGCCAGATTTGTGTGTGTGTATGCTTAATAATATAGATATAAGATAAACGTAATCCATAATACATGATAATATGCATCGGAAAATGTTTCGTGATTTAAATCATCAAGTATTGAAGACAATCGTAATGTTATAGTTATAATCAACATACTGTCGACACAGATAGAATTGTGAGCATTAACGCTTAAAGAAAGTAAACGAGAATTTAATAAGCCCTTAACAGCTTAAATAGTTTGGGCTATCCATGACTCTAGATGAATGGGTTTATTATCTAAGGTACCGAAATTTATCATTATGCTAATAGAATGTTTAAGTTTAGACCCTTAAGATGCTACCACTTCCACAATACTAACATACATTAAGAACTAATTACTCGTTTCTCGATAAGAAGTCACGTGCACATAACTCAATGATCAGACGAGTATTGGGCATACTGGCATATCACATTGGTTACAGTAGTACTTATTAGGACAAGTAAACGATCGTATATTTTCTTCTTTTCAACGATACGAAGTGAACATCTACTATGAGTAGTAGCTCTCTAATCTAAGGAAAACAAATTACTTCTTTCAGGGCAATAAATTAAATCGCATTCTAATAAGTATTCTAATAACTTAATTCAGCGGTAGTGTTTATAATGTTGCAGTGAAGTAATCGGTTCAAGAAGTGGGTTTGGATAGTCTCAACAGAGACTCAAAATGGGCCTGGAAGACCAAGAAATTGTGGAAGGTAAGTAGTCTATGATTAGTGTATTACAACTAACGAACTGACCAAGTAATGTCAGAAAACAAGAATTGTTCTTTTTTTTTAAGCCAGCTCGTAGTTTTTTCATCCTTGGTTCATCAACATTGTTATTAAGACCCGAAAAATTACGAAATGCAAAAATGCACCTGCTATTTCTAGAGTAGGTGATGAAAACTCCATGTTGCGTTGATAGTTTCATTCAACTTTCGACCATTTTACATAATCAGTTTAATCTTAAAATATTGAGTTACAGAGTAAATTGTTCGTATTATTGTCAACGGTTCATTTTATTTCTATGTCTTTAGAATGGACGCAGATACTATTGAACACTCCCGTGCATATAGAGTTCGGTTTAGTCAACATGAGGAATTTACAAAGATTTAAAGATAAGCGATTTTTTGAGAACAAGTTGTTTAGACAATGATACGAGCATTCATACAAATAAGTCCGTTAATTGTTACGAGAAGTTCCTCTATGTTGATTTTAAATGTTGATATTAAAGATTACCAACCTCGAAAGCAGTTTTTTTAAGGATAATAATGATTTATTCATATTTCGAAAAATATGGTAATATTTCTGAACTGAAAACAATGCTGATCTGATCCCGGCACCCAAAAAGACTTATGCAGGTTTATCTCTATCTTCCGCGTTTCCCAATGTAGTCGCAAATCTTTGAAAAAGTGGTCTAAAAATTATATTTTATTCAATAGACTCATCAAAATTTAAAATGAAATTATTAGATATTTACGAGAGCCCTTTTTATCCATTTTGATGAGATTTGCTCAAAAAAAGTATTTTTGGGAAAAGTTTTTAGGAATGTTTTCACTGCTTCGATTTTAGATCAAAATATTATCCCAAATTAAAATTTGCAGTAAAAATATAAGCTAGCCTTTAAAAATGTCAAATTTATGAAATTCAGATTTCACCTAATGCAGCTCTAAATAATATATCAACGATTCAAAAGAACACATGTTGTATTTACAAAGGAACCCGTATTTCCCCGTACCCGTAAGCTGTACAAGTTTCTAAGATATTGATAGAAATTCACGAAAAATTTATTAGAAACTCAAGTTTTAACGGCATCGGTGAAAAACTTTTTTATTCAGTTATAAGAATTTTTCTATATTCGTAAGTGAAATAATGATATTTAGTGCGAACAACAGCAGATAACAAAAATGTGTGAATATATGGCGGAAATAACACGCGTTGTTTGTAATTTAAACTTATTCATAAAAGTTTTTGTGATTTTAGTAATTACGTAATTAATATAAAACGAAAAGTGAATAAAAGTGATTTCAATCGTTTAAAAATATTAAAATCCTACATAAAATCCTACATAAAAACAACATTTTATAGCATGCTTCCATCCGTTATCTGCTTACCGATAAATGCAATTTTAGTAGAACAGTAATGGGTGTGGTAAGAAAATTTAATTTGGCAATGTTAACCAAAAATCCTTCTATGTTTTATGTAAACTATCTTCAGAAAATTACAACTATTTTCAGCCATTAATGAGAATAGCAAAGTACAGCAAACACATAGAAGTAATTGCTTAAATCAGTTAAATGTAGATTTGGGCATATTTATTGCTGGCTGTGTAGAAATGAACTCTCAATATATATTTCTAAAGCAATTTATATTATTTTTAAAAACGATTCACATTTACACATCGTCAAAACCATCGAATTATCTAAAAGATAGTTTAAGATATTAATGGGAGTAATTGACTGAAGCACTTGAGATGCTTAAACCTATGTTATGACAATGTTTTTTTATTCAAAAAATTACAAACGAGAACCAAATTTGAAAAATCAGGCATTGTGTAGCATGAGCGTTATATTTACATGTGATTATTAAATTGAAAAAATTGAAGAGCAAAAAAAATGATTTAATAAAATTAAAGAAAAATCTATTTAGAAACAGGACAAGTCAATTATGTAAAATCGTAAAATCACAAGTATTGCTTGTGAAAATAATATCCATCACTTTTTAATTATAAGATGTGAAGTCAGAAATGCTAACTACAAAATCGATCTCAGCGCTATCACTTATATAATTGTCTAAGAATTTAATAGAAGCCATCACTAATTTCTGGTTGGTTCTAAAGTTACAAGTTAAACTTCAACCAAACATTATTTGCAAATTCGCAAGTTCTCAGACAAATCGCTTTGTTGGAAAAACTTTCAGCTGCACACCTGATTCAGTTTCGATGTTAACTAATATTCGTTTTATTTCATTTCAGAAGTGAAAGAATGCTGCAAAGCCCGAGATGTCTTATGGTACCTGGTATTCGTAGGATTTGCAGTAAACTATATGATCAGAATAAACTTAAATATAGCGATTGTTGCAATGATACAAGCCAAACCGAAAGATAATATTTCCCTGACTAGCGAATGTTTGGCAATTGAACAGACCTTTAATGCTACGCAAAGATGGGACTCAAGTTTCCCAATGAATAATTTGGTAGGTTTAAAACGCTTCAGTTCGCATAAAGATGCTTTATTTAATGGAAATTGAGATGAATATCTATAAAAGATACAACTTAGAAGAGATGGCGGAAGCTAATAATTATTGGTTTCAATGCAATAATTCAGAATGAGTTGAGAAATTTTTCGAAACTGCATTTTTGTCAAAACCCTGCAAGCATATTTTACACAAAGCTTATTCCCATAAATTTGAAACACCGATCATATTTTCCAGAGACTTACTACTGAACGGATTTCATCTTTTGCGCGTGAAAACTGGAGCACCGAATTTGCAGCAACGGAGCCATTTAGTTCTATTACTTTTACGGCTTTAAAACATCCATTGTCTGAAAACCCAAATGAAGCAAAGTTTGCATGGAATGAAAAGATTCAAGGTAATGACAAGTACATGTTAATCAAGCTGAAAAAATTCGGTAAATTTGCAGAATAGACCCCAAGTAATATTATCGAAAATATTAAATGAATAGTTGCTTGAAAATTTAAATATTTTACTAATATTTGTACTTCAGGTTATGTGCTTGGGAGTTTCTTTTGGCTGCATTGGACAACCCAAATACCAGGTGGCTTACTTGCCAGCAAATATGGTACCAAAATGATATTTGGTTTATCCAATTTTGCCGGCGTTTTACTATGTTTCCTCATTCCATATTTTGCAAAATTGGGGTCCACGGAACTGATGGCGTTACGGCTAATTCAAGGCATATTGTGTGTAAGTGTTTCCGCTTAATTAAACAAATTACTTACCAACATTCACTGAAAAAGTAATAGCTTTGATTTATGAACTTTCTGATAGTGATGTTACGAATTAATTCCAGGGATTTGCGTGGCCTTCTATGCATGATATGACTGCTAGATGGATACCCCCAAATGAACGCAGCAAATTTGTTACTTCATATTTAGGTAAGATTGTTGTTCAGTTAGTTCAGCGATTTTGGCGTTGCATTGCAAGAAAAATTGGCTTACGCGCACCAATTTCATGTAAATGAGTGCCTTATGAGTACAAAAGATTTTATATACCTCTAAAAACTTCAAACAGATTACATTTTTAGTATCTTACTCAGTATTCGCTGCTCAGTCTCCTTCAATCCAGTGCACGTCTACATGCGGCAAAATGAATGACGGGAATGTTTTATTTAGTTCTTAAAAATGTTAAGCGCCTCACAAAAATCAGCAAAAATTGGACAATATTCTACACACTCCCATACTGGAATAAAATATTCAGCCAGACAAGTCGCTGCTCGATACAAAGGCTCAAATAACAGGATTAATGCGTCGTTCCAAATATAAACAATATTTTTAAAACCCGTTTGGCAGGTTCGACGCTTTTCAGTGGGCTAAATTCTAAATAATGTTGTCGATTAGACCCAGTAAAATTGACCAAAATCGATTTATTTGCCACTGACTTATTGTATGCTTGAAAATATGGAAACATACATACCGCTTCATGTTGAGGAATATTAAATTCAAATTAAGAAAGGATATACATACCTATAATATGTATGAAATTGAAAAAGTTCTTACTTCTTATTTCCTAAAATATAGTCCAATTTTGTTTTGTTTAATTTATTCATTTTTAAAATCTAGGTTATAAATCCTATAAAACTTTCTTTGTTGGCTGCAATTGCCAATAAATGAAAATACTTTAATCGCTTCTCATCCGAGCAACTGATTGAACTTCGGCTTTATTTTGGGTCTATTTCGAGGATTTATTTTTTTTAAATTGAACTTAGGTTCCATCAAGAAGATTTTCGGCACTACAGAGTGACTGAAAATTAGATTCTTGACCGAACATTATATATTTTTTACTGTACTTTACTCCATTTTACTTTTGAGAATCTAATTCTACATGAAATTCTAGATCTATGAGGTGCAACTGATCATTATGGATACTAATTTGCTTAGCAGCAATCAACCATAGTTAGTTGAACGCTCAACTTCTGGTCAGAATTTGTTTCATTTTAAGGAAAATAATTTTCAAAAAATAAAAGATACTGGTCATGTGCACCATGAACGTTGTGTTCTCAATTGACCGATGGCAAAGAAGAAGAGTTAGAAAACTGATCAAAGCTTACTTATTAAAGCAGGCCTGCTTTAATAAATTTAAAAGTTAGAAATTATAACAGTAAGTTGAAAGATATTTTCATTATAATGAGGGCGATTAAGTTGCAACACTTGAATTACGATAAGTGCAACGTTTTCTATTAAGCCCGCTAAATTGCATTGAATTAAGCACAGTCAATCGCAAATTCCGAATCGCAGCAAAAACCCAGATATTTTCCGTCCAAAAATCTCAACTTGTAATTTAAAGCTAGTAAAAAATACATGTTATTACCTTCTTCGGCAAACACTTTAATCTAAAATTTTGCGATCTTTGTAAAGGTTGGTCTAAAAATTAACAATTTTTCTCTCCAATAAAAATTCTCAACATCTTTTTCTGAGTAGGAATAAAATTTATATTTTCTCTGTCTATAGCAAATACATGAATTGAACTTCTTGCAAAATTTCGTTTCAATAGCGATGCATTCTGATTTTTGCGCTCTTTGTAATTGTTGGTCGAAGACCGAACGTTTGAACGCAACCTCAGGTTCTCCAATAAAAATTCCCAACTTCTAATCTACAAGTAGGTCAAATAGCAACTTGATATTTTTTTCTTCATAGCATTCCATTTAAAGTAAGATAGTTGTGATTTAATAGAAAGTAGATCCACCAAGTTCGTGATATTTGAAAAATATACATATTTTTAGTAGAAATCAACGTAAAATTTGTGTTTGCTGGCCCCAAAGTACGAAAGAAATATTAAACTTTAAATTGATTTTTTCATGTCATGTATCTAATGGCAATCCAGAATAATACGGTTAGAAAATATTTGTACAATGTCTGTTTTTTCTGTTATTATATTTCTAAAAAAGGGTCTGGCTGACCAGTTTTGACTCATATTTGCTGTATTTTACTTTAATATAGTATTTGATTTATATTCGGTTCCTTGAATAGAACACCATAACAGCAGTACATAAATTATTTTTATTAATATCTATTGAAACTCATTAGAATAAAAAAGATTTATTAATAAGAAAAAATCTTATATAATTTTTACTTTAAAATAAATTGACAAACCTAGAGAAAACGTTTTAGGGAAATTGTTGGAAATTTTTTGGTTGCCTTCGCAGTATCTTTTATTTATTTCTAGTCGATGTTTTGAAACTTTCAATAGAATCCTTTAAATTGCTCGTGCATAAAAAAAGAAAAATATGTTCAATATTTTACTCGTTACGTATTTTGTTACGAAATTGTTTGTTGTCCCTTCTTTTATCCAATCAATTTGTACATTACTTGGATAGCAAAACATAATTTTCAATCTGTTCAGGCCATTAATGGCATTCCGTTCTTGTGCGAAAATATCGCAAATATTTGCTGGTAAACGCGACTCGAGCGATATGAAAATGAAAATCGTTTGTCATTCCATATTAACCCAAGTCTGACCGTATTTTCCCACAACATGCGTATGGACCGTGTTCACAAGGACCGTTTTCTATGCTCTAAAATGCGATTTTTCGCTATTAAAATATTCACGATTATAGCACTTATTATGTAATAAAATATTTAGTAAAATTGTGTTTTGCAATTTTCAGGTAGTTCGGTGGGCGCAGCAATTACATACCCAATATGCGGCTTTATTATTCATAAATGGGGTTGGGAGTATGTATTTTATGCAAGCAGTGCTTTTGGTACCGTGTGGTTCATCGCGTGGTGGTCTTTGGTTCATGACAGTCCTAGTCAGCACCCCAGAATTTCGGAGCACGAGAAAAACTACATTCTAAAAAGTTTAGGACAGAGCGTGGCCAAGAAAAGGGTAAGCAAAATACAGATTTGAACTAGCAGGCACCAGAAAAATTGATTAAATTGAATACAAGTTATTCTGTACAATCAGTTGTTAAACCCTTTGCTATATCATGGTCTCTCTATTCCTAAGTAGCAAAACGATCTTTAATTAATTACCTACTAAAATGTCACCTAGAAGTTAGTTTCGTTATAAATTACCTCACCTATATAAACAAGAAACAAAGTCTCAAAGCTGACGGTAATAAATTAGCCTGTTGCGTATGCTTAATAATTTAACAAGAACTTGTTATATGTGAGCATTCAGAGCAAATTGTAAAATACTGCAGCGAATAACACTAAAATAAATCTCCAGGAAAAATAAGAACTTTTTAAACAAAACATTATATTCCTCGTTGACAAATGAAGACGTTGTTTAAAATGCAAAACGCATGTTTCAGTTGAATATTTCAAGCAATATTCACCGACAATAAATTGCTTGTTATATAGAGTCTTGCTAAATTGGAAGAAAACGTATACTTATAAAGTAATGCGACTCTGTATTGAAGCCAGCCCAGAACCAACTTTTACGCTTTTAGAACCAGCAACACAGATAAACAGGAAAATTGTTAAATTATATTTATCTACTCTAACATTCTTGCACTATAAACCCAACTGTTCTTATCCATCAAAGGGTAATTTCAAGCTGGAGAAAAGATAAGTGGAGAAAAAATATTTCAGTCTATTTTTATTGAACATTAGTGACAGCCTCTTCAATTTATAACGTAACCCATAGAGAAAGTTAGTTGTAGGTTGAACAAAAAATATTTAGAAATCGTTCTCGTGTGTTAGTCGTAGTTAATTTTGAGTAGTCTTTTTGAAATTTGTATTGGCTTTCTTGTGTGGTGAGCAAAATCCAAATATTAATTTACGAAGAAAATCTGGTTGAAAATACATATTTGTGTGAAAGAGTAAGAATTAACACTTCAAGTCCCTTTAAAACCTTCATGGAATTTCAAGTAATAATAAGTGTGTTGTGGGTAATCAGCAATTTGAGATCTATATAAAAAATCTAAATAAAAAACGAATTTCGTTTCCAATTGTAAGTCGATACAGGCATTAACGACAATGTTGACTGTGTTTACTGGTTATAGAGATTCCACATGAAAGTGTAATATCTGAGCTACTGAATGATGTTTTGCACGTGGAATTGTTGAGGTTTACCACACCATAGATAAGCTATGAAAAGCCTACACACCGTTGAAATTCCGAATGACATGCACGTAATATCGGAAATTCAAAACAGTTTACGCTAAAATCCACTGTAAAATTTACACCAGGATTAAACGACACGCTTTATTAATAAGTAGAGAAATTATTAAAATTTAATAGAAAATATAACTTCGTCGGAAAGTGGGTTGGTTGCATAATTGAAAGCTTTTGTGTACATCTATTGGCTCAGATCGCCATGCTTTATTGCTTTCAATATTGTGCATAGCAAATATCCTTTACGAACATTTAATTAAAATTTGTAAAACTTAATAAAAACTAAAAACTCTTAAAATACAAAACATTAATTTTGAGGACTAATAAAACAACAGAATTGCAAAAAAACGCCGTACATTTTTTTCACATTTACATTGTTGGCAAACGCACGGAAATTAATTTTACAGTTTTTGGATACCTATAGAAAAGAAAATTCTCGTCATAATTAAGAAACGGAAACAAATCCAAATGAATGAAAGCCTGATTTATATTAATTAAATTTAACGTCAATAAACTTTACTTTTCAGGCTCCAGTCCCATGGGCACAAATATTTCGAAACCGCACAGTTTGGATGAACATTTTGGCGCAATGGGGCGGCCTATGGGGGCTTTTCACTCTCATGACACAAGCTCCGACCTATTTTAAGTTTATACATGGCTGGAATATTAGAGCAGTAAGTATGGAAGACGCGGAATTGATCCGAAAGTACTTCAAACTAAAGATTATGTTGATTTTATCGGAAGGAAGTTTCTAGTAGCGTTAAATTTAATTCGATAATTATTAGATCAATAAAGAAAATATTGAGAGGCAAAGCGCAATAATTATTTAAAAATTTTAACGTCATTTAAATATCAACCAAAGAAAACGAATGACATTTTATAATTAAAATGAATATTTCCTTCGTATGATAATCTGTCAGTTTGAAGTGTGCAATTATCGAAAAATTACAGCAATAATTGCACAGTGTGCAATTATCACTCAACGATAATTGCATTGTTTACAAAAAATATTTGACAGGTGTCTTTTCATATTGAATTAGACATCAAATGTCTTCCTGACATACCTAAGATATTCAAATTATATTTAATAAACATAAGTAATAAAATTAAAAGTGTAATAAAATAT